TAAATATGTAGGACACATACTGTAGCATAATTATCGATTTTTCGAAGCAATAGTAGTCTAACCAGATTTGTCATGACACTGAATCCTATTTATTTCGAACACATAGTTCGCGCTCGATTTTACTCGAGACAATTAGAAGCATGCATAATTTTCATTTAAATGAATCATTCATTAGGTCACGAAACCACAACTCTTCTTTTGGGCTTAAGAGCCCGAACTAATAAGCAGCAAATTTCAAGAGCATTATTTAATTTACTAGGTCGCTTATATATAGATTTATCAATTAGTGCCGCACAATACTTATTTAACGTATATACGGAAAAATAAAGTTTGACCATATATGGATGAATTATGCAACAAGAAAATTATATCATAAGAGACATAGATAGAAATACTCCGTAAAAGCATGACAAAGGCAAAAAAAAGTATGAGAACAGAATGCTTATTTAATTATGTACAACTGAATTAAAACAAAAAATTCTCATCCAATGAAAGTGAACAGACAGCAAAAAAGCATAAATGAAATAATTTTCAGGCTTTGCAGTGGAGGTATTACCACAATGTCCACGGCGCTATTGGAATCCGGGCCACGGTCGTGACAGAAAAATTTAATGGGAAATCAACTAAAGCATATCCCAGACGAGTTGAATCAATTACACTCATTATTTTGTGTCTAAAAATCGAAAAAGTCTGCTACATTTTTGGGCCAGCAATAAACCAAGCAAAACAATAATATAAATATTATTGACTAATACTATGGAAGTATTCATTCACGTAAACTTAATTATGCAATAAAAGAAAGAAAGCCAGGATTAATGATTATAATTATAATTTCTTAGTTGCCTTGATGGGTACTTAAATGGCAACTATAAATAAGACTTAATGAAAAGATGTATGGTTAAAATGCTGAAGTATACATGCTTTAGATTTACACAGGACTACAGTGATCAAACAAAACAAAACAAAACAAAAGGAGTGAATCAGACTATATCACACTTACACGAAGTGATAGTTTAGTTTGTTTCGGTTGACCTATTTTATATTTCAAAAATGAATTAATACTTGAGCTGCAATTGCACGGTGAGCTAAATACGCATTTATAAAAGGATGTGGTATATGAAAAGTATAAACAAGAAACATGGAGCAAACTAATGTCCCTTGAAACTAA